TATGCAGGGTCTACGGGCAATTTTTGCCCGAGCCCACAGCCTCTGATTACCCCACATTAAATTTGGCCTTGTGCTGCATCTTACCTCATGAGGAGGCAGGTAAATATCGTAATATGCATTCTAAGTAGTCCATCACTAGCAGTGGTTTACCTACTTCACGCCGTTGGCGAGTATTGTACTTTGTTGATGTTATAAAGATTACCATTCCTTTTCCAACCTCCATTTTGGTTATTTCTCATTCAGTAACCTTTTCTAGGTTACAACAAATTATAATAATAATAATAATAACAATAATAATAATAATAATAAAGCGAATTCTCACCTGCATTGGCGCATATGTAGGGAGCATGGAATTGAAGTCGATGAGGAATGATACCGCCACAAGCCAGAGAAAGTAATCGAAAACGACCAAGTCAAGATCTTATGGGATATCAGCATACAAAGAGACCACGTCTGAGTTCACCTAACCAGGCATCATCGTCGTTGCCCGCCCCCACAAAAAAAAACAAGAAAATAAATCCTCATCGACGTGACCGTTACTGCTGACCATAATATCAAGGTCAAAGAAATTGACAAGTTCAGGAAAATTGACAAGATCAAGAAATACACCGACCTCCATGACTGAAGTTATCAGATGTGGGATGTTCACGTCACTATTGTCCCAGTTATCGCCGGGGTGTTGGGGTCTATATAACCGAACCTTGTCTTACATGAAGAAAATCGGAATCAAGCCTAGTATCTTATCGAATGTTACGGTCAGAATGATTTTTTTATATATATTTCCGTGTCGAAGCCATTAATGTTTGCTGGATTTGGAATTGGCCCACTTACAATGCTCAAAATGACTCCCGAAATGGGAGGGTCCCACTCATTCACAATATAAAAGGAATATTTTCGCATGTTCAAATGTTAAAAATATTGAATTCGTTTACTTTCAAGGTGTTCATCCTATTCAGCAGCAACTCTTAACTTTCTTCCAGTAAAAGATTGAAGGATTTTACAAACGACGTGGATAAAACCAGTTACACCATTTTGATGTGAGACTTCAACGCAAATGTAGAAACAGGTAAAAGCGGAAGTACCGATATTTTTCAACACCGTTGGTGCTGTAAAAGAAGAAAAGTCCAAATGAATAAAAAATGTAATTGATTTCACAATTGCTGACAAAGCCATTATCGTTGGATACGTAACCGCCATTAAGAAAGTTAATATATGACATTGGTTCTTAGATTCTGTTTCTTTTTTTTCATTCTTTGGATTTGTTTCTTTTCTGTGTTCGGTTAATTTTCGTGGTTCTTTGGTTCTGTTTGTTTTCGTGTCTTTAGGGGGGCGGGGGTGTTGTACTCTTTCATTTCTGGTTTCTTTGGTTATGCTTCTTTTCTTGGTTCCTTGGTTCTGTTTCTTTTCTTTGTCCTTTGGTTCTGTTTCTTTTCTTTGTCCTTTGGTTCTGTTTCTTTTCTTTGTCCTTTGGTTCTGTTTCTTTTCTTGGTTCCTTGGTTCTGTTTCTTTTCTTTGTCCTTTGGTTCTGTTTCTTTTCTTTGTCCTTTGGTTCTGTTTCTTTTCTTTGTCCTTTGGTTCTGTTTCTTTTCTTGGTTCCTTGGTTCTGTTTCTTTTCTTTGTCCTTTGGTTCTGTTTCTTTTCTTTGTCCTTTGGTTCTGTTTCTTTTCTTGGTTCCTTGGTTCTGTTTCTTTTCTTTGTCCTTTGGTTCTGTTTCTTTTCTTTGTCCTTTGGTTCTGTTTCTTTTCTTTGTCCTTTGGTTCTGTTTCTTTTCTTTGTCCTTTGGTTCTGTTTCTTTTCTTAGTTCCTTTGTTCTGTTCATTTTCTTACTTCTGTTTGTTTTCTTCGGTCTATCTATGTTCTTGGTTCTTTGGTTCCGTTTATTTCCGCGACTCTTCGGTTTTCTTTATTTTCGTGTTTCTTTGGTTCTGTTTCTTTTCTTTGGTTCTGTTTCTTTTCTTGGTTCTTTTGTTCTGCATGGTCGCTTTCAAATTGACATTAAGACTGACAGAATGAAAATATTTCTCTAGATCGTAATAACCTTAGATTTTAGAGCATGTAACCAAATTTTAAGCAAAAAAACAAATATGGATTCCAGGCATTGTGAAATAACAAAAATAACATCAGGCATAATGCTTGATTCAAGGAGATGATCAGATGCCTAGATTCCTGGATAAACGTCAGGTTTTAAGTTCAGGGCGTATACCTGGAATTTCTTCCCAATCCTTGATTTTTTTTGTCTCTTGATCAATGCTGCTGATGGTAAGAACGTTTCTGGATTGGCGTTATACGTGGCTTAGAGTAACCTATCAGCAAGTGTGTAATTTGGGGGTTACTGCATTGAAATTTGGTGAATGGGATTTAGGACGGGCATTCGTTTACAACAATGTTTCTCAACATTTTATTTTACTCCAGGGTGCACTTGTAGAATAACTAAAACTCTGGGACGCACTTTAAATTTTAATAAATAAAAAATTATTTATGAAATTTTTGAAAAAAAAAAGTAAAGACGTCTCCTGAAATAAGAATATATCTTGGAGACATTCTGTCAGTTAAGTACCATACATGATACACGCTTGGGCGATCATGTGTCTTACTATACATGACAGAAGATTTTTTTCCCGCAGTGGGTTGCCATTTCATCCTGCGGCAGCTTGGTTGCCATCCAAGGCTAAAGAATCCCGTTTGTACTACTATTTAACTCATAGCTTGGTGCAGAATCGTTTGTACTGCTATTGAACCTATAGCTGCGGGAGAAGAGATGAATTGTGCGTAAGTGGACGAAATCGACTGGAATTCGAACTCGGCTCTCTGATTTTTCAATTCGAGCCGATTTCCATTACACCACAACACACATTACATTGTATATGACACTACATTCTATATCTAAGTATGCCTGTGTGAAACCTATGAGTGATATGCTTTGGTAATTTTTAAATGTTAGGTCTTACATGTTCTGCTTGAGGAAGGCAAAAGGAAAAGGATTATCCACTGCTTCTTAAAGATTAAGGAATTTAGCAGCGAGGTTAAAATATCAAAAGATAAAAACTTGACTTACACATGGAAGCTAACTGCTAGGTTCCTCGAGCTTTTTGAAAAAAATAATTTTTTTAAATATAAAAATAATTAATAAATTACTCGTCTGTTAACATGGAGCGCACCTGGCTACCTGTCAGGGCGGATTATTGCGGCCGCGCACACCGGTTGAGAAACACTAGTTTACGGTAAACCCCCTCGATGATGTATACAGTTAAAGCTGTACTTTTTGCTGCTTAATCCAGGTGTAATTTTACATATACCACTTATTTATATTAATGTTCACTCAAATAAAAGATCCAAGAGCCACTCAAGGTAGAGTGTTACTGTATGGTGTTGTATGATCCTAAGAAAAGGCAAGAAATCATCATCATCTTGTGGCCTCAGCCGAGATTGAACTCACTAATACTTTGATTGGTGCAGTTCATAATCTTGTCAAATACCTGAACTCTTGATGCTTCGCTAGGGCTATCAAGGGTGTTTTTTATCGTGACGCCATTACTAAATGGATTGCCAACCAAGGCTCAGAGAGACTCCATTCACCCTCATCTAAAAGCAGGTTTTATAAATTCAGAGTTGCCATCCAAGGCTATAGAACCCGGTCTGTCCTGCTATTTACCCATAGCTGGAGGGAGAAGAAAGAGGATTCACACCTTTCCCAAGGGTGTTAGCACGTAAGTGAATGTAATGGATTCGACTGGAATTCGAACTCGGCTCTCCGATTCCTCAATCCAAGCGGCTATCCATTACTCCACCGTGCAAGAAATACAGTTTATGTAGGGAAGGTCGATAGAGTAATGATCGGGAAAACTTCCTCTTAGGAGTCGGTTCCCCAAAGCAGCAGTTCTTGGAAGGAAGCTGTCTGAGTGGAACTTCTTACTAAAGAAATACGAGGGGAATGAAGGCAATTGATCTATGTATACGTGGTCTGGCCGTTTCCACTTTGTGGGTGTAGCTGTCTCGCTACCACGATTCCTCATCTTCCCCTACCAAAATATGAGCATAGATAACCGTTATCCATCGTACATATTCTTATAATATGCACTTTTTGATATCCCCAATTCAGCAGGTGACAGAAATAACGGGACAAAAAAACAAAAATACAAATAAAAACGTGGAATAACTTAAAGCCAACATTACGCTTATATGGGGAAAAAAACTACTGCTTCACCATGCTAGCTGTTGCTACTGTGATTTTCATTGCACGTAGGCGTTTACGGGGATGTCATTGCCAGCCCCACTACAAGATAAATTTATATTTATATTTTTTTCTTCTTTTAGTCTGGTTGCTAACAAAAAGTAGAGTTCCTATTCTACCCTGCTGTTAACACCCTATTGGGTTGGGAGGGGAGAATAGATGGATCCATAACTTTTCAAAGACACATGCGCGAAAGTGAATACAAAATCTTATAATGCGGACATCCAAGTTCAGGATAACTGATGAGACAAAAAATAAAAATATGGATGGAAATAGACGTAAGAGTTTCTACAAAACACCGTGACTTTCAGATGAATATAAACATATTGGCCGTTATAATCGTAATGTTTCGTAAATGGTCGCTTCCAAATCGGCTTTAAGATTGATAGAAAGAAAAAAATTCTCTAGAAGAGAATACCGTTATAACGTTGGATTTTAGATTTCAGAGTACATTCAGCAAATTTCACAGGAAAAACAAGAACAGATTTTAGGGCGTATAGCTGTATCATTGATTGAATGATTCGTTTTTTACGGCTTATCAACCATTTGCAAGTTATTTAAAGCCAGAAAATATTTTTAGATTGTAACAATTTGGGAGAAGATGATGGTTGGTTTAGTGATACAAGTTTTACTAATTAACCCACAGCTGGGGGAGATAAAGGTATTTGCGCACAAGTGAATATAACTAACCCAAGGTGAATTGTAACTCGGCTTTCCGATTAACAATTATTAGCCATTATCCATTAAACCACCGGAACATCCAAACAGCTCTTATTCCCAAGCGGTTATCTAAGTACTGACCAGGCTTGACGTTGCTTAACTTCGGTGATCGTACGGCAACCGGTGTTTCAACGTGATGTAGCCGTAAATCTGTGTACCTGACTTGGTGTATTTTGTTATAAGGCATATCAACCTCAATAAGTTATTTAATGCCGATGATTCTTTTTATGAATAGAATATGTATTCTTTGTAAGAAATCGGTTTCTAAATCAGGTTTCATTGACGTATTTTTGTAAAGATGTTTTTTGTCGAAAATGCTAAATGTATTGCTGGTAATATTTTTTCAGAAAATGTATTTTAATTTTTTTTCAAAAATGTGTTGCTGGTATTTTTTTTCAGAAATATATTGCTGGTAATATTTTTTTCAGAAAATGTATTTTCATTTTTTTCAAAAATGTATTGCTGGTAATATTTTTTTCAAAAACGCATTGCTGGTAATTTTCTTTTTTTTTTTTCAAAAATATATTGCTGATAATTTTTTTAAGTGTATTGTTGGTATTTTTTTTTAAATGTATTGATGGGATTTTTTTTTAATGCATTACCATTCCATTTCCAACCTCCATTTTGGTTGTTCCTCATTCAGTAGCCTTTTCTTGGTTACAACAAATAATAATAATAAAGCGAATTCACATCTGCATCGGCGCCTATTTTTTTCAAAATTGTATTGCTGGTTATATTTTTATCAAAAATGTATTGCTGGTATTTTTTAAATGAATTGCTGGTAAATTGTTTTCATTTCAAAAATATATTGCTGGTAAATTTATTTTTTCAAAAATGTATTGCTGCTCTTTTTACTATAAAAATCTATTTTCGTACTTTCATAGGGTTTTGAACCCAGTTTGTGGGGTTAAATATTTGACCATAGCTGGGACCCTAATGAGATCTAACACCACGGCTTAGGGTGGATCTGGGAACAGCAGCAATTAAGAGGTGGTTTCACGTTCCTCAAAACCTCCTAATCAGTAGCCTTTCTGTCGGATGAATTTTATCGTCATATCTAGGACGTCTCGTATACCTGCAATATCTTCCCAAGAATTCTGCGGTATACGTAACCGACCCTTTATTCAATTTACTGGTGTAGATGTTCTAATTCCGGTTTCTAGTCTTAGGGGATATATCGTATCAATCAGTTCGCTCTGTGTCATTTGTCTGTGTCGTCCATTGACCCAGAGAATATGACTGAATTTTCCCCACTACCCGACTGAGGGATTGAGACATCGCAACCACATAACGGGATTACCTGATTGAGCTATCTGGTAACGAATTCGGCTATGTTATATATCAAAGTCAACCGCTACTAAATTTTGAATTGATTTTCTTGTAATTTCTTCTTCTACGTGCCGTAACTCTTCAGGATTTGGCGATCATGGCTCTCCATAATTTCCGATCCTTTTTAGCTCTTAATAAATTTTGTCCTTTTGTTATCGTTCCTAAACCTTGCTCTGCCATCCATTTATTCAAGCTCGCTGAGTAAGTTATGCATTGCTGTCTTCGGTCTCTCTTGCCTTCAATATGTCGCGGAGACACCAAAATCATACGAGTGCAACGATTTAAATATCTGGGGAGTCTTTTAGCAGAGGATGGAAAGTGTGACACTGAAATCCGAAGGCGCACTGGGATAGCGAAAGATGCCTTCCGAAAGCTAAGCAAAGTATTAAAAAACAGAAACATTTCGTTAGAAACAAAGAAAAGACTACTGAACTGTTATGTAATATCAGTCTTCCTATGTGGTAGTGAATGATGGACAAATCTCCTCACAGATGAAGAAGAGGCTTGAATCAACACAAATGGGGCTCTACAGAAGGATGCTGAGAATACATAATGAGGGAAGAAGGCTTAGATATCTGATACTTTCTTCTCATTTAGTTAGGCCAATTTATATTGTAAAATTAGCAGCAATGTCCACAAATATCTAAATTTTAAATTTGATAATGATGGAGTAGATTCAAAAGTAATCTATCCTGTCAAACCTTCTCTACTTAACCGATCCTATGTAGAGCAGACTGTGTTTTTGCCTTAATCCGATACAGCGAATAAGTGTTTCTTACATATAAAAATCTGAGTATCATATTTTTGCAGATATCAATTTACGGGCTCAATGATGCCTTTAACTTTAAATTCAAATTTAGTTCATAAGGTTCGTCATGAAAGTTTTTCAATTAAGATGATCTTACGTGGCTGCTAAGCTGACAAATTGTGGTTGTTTGTTGCTTCTTATCCATTTTTTTTTGTCCATTAAAGCTCAGGAAACAGAATTCGAGGTGAACAATTCCATTCAAGAAGAATTGTTTTATTTAGAGAGCGATGATCATTGATTAACTTTATATTTCACATAAACACGGAAAGAAAGAAAGAAAGAAAGAAAGAGAGAAAGAAAGAAAGAAAGAAAGAAAGAAAGAAGGCATCATTTTATTTGGTCACTGAAGTCCATTAACTATATCTCATTTAAACACAGAAAAAGAAAGAAAGAAAATGAGTGATTAAAAAAGAAAGAAAGAAAGAAAGAAAGAAAGAGAGAAAGAAATAAAGAAAGAAGGCATCATTTTACTTGGGTACTGAAGTACATTAATTATATCTCATTTAAACACAGAAAAAGAAAGAAAGAAAATGTATGATTAAGAAAGAAAGAAAGAAAGAAAGAAAGAAGGCATTATTTTATTTGGGCACTGAAGTACATTAACTATATCTCATTTAAACACAGAAAAAGAACGAAAATGTATGATTAAAAAAGAAAGAAAGAAAAATGGAAAGTTAAAAGAGAAAAAAGAAAGAAAAAATTAAGAAGGAAAAATAGACAAAGAAAGAAAGAAAGAAAGAAAGAAAGAATCATTTTATTTGGGCACGTGACTACATTGATTACTCTTATATCACATATAAACACAGAACGAAAATTTAAGGTTCGCAAAGAAACAAAGAAAGAAAATTATGTAATTTAGAGACCGATGTCCACTGATTAATTTTATAACACATAGAAAGAAAGAAAGAAAGAAAGAAAGAATCATTTTATTTAGACACTGGGCTCCATTCATTATCTTTATATCAGATATAAGCACAGAAAGTCAAGACAAAGAGAAAGAGAGGCACAGTGAGGTAGAGAGAGAGAGAGAGAGAGAAAGAGATAGGCGACATAATGAGATATCCAATCCATCATTCCCGATTTCGCCGCTCTCGCTGCTGCAACGAGAGTTCCGCTGAAATCCACTTCGCTAGTGTTTAAATTACTTTATCATAAATCCGTTGCTTGTGTCCCGATAACATTATATCATTTCGGTGTCACCTTTAAAGCACATTGGCATTTTCTGCAGGGACTTTGAACATTATCCCTTAATTGCTCATGTTCAATGCATCAGGAGGAATTGCGCACAATCCTGTTTTGGTCAGCGTGATCGGAATTGCTTTCTGGAATACACAAAGTCTATATTAATTTACCTTTGGTTTTCGGCGCAGTGTATATTCAAAGGATATAGTATTGACAAAGATAGCTATTAATAGGACAAGCGTAAGAATATTCAATAATTCCTCCTGCTACGGTCATACTTTTTACTTCATTAAAAGCAGTGGCAATCAATATTTTTAACATGCAATTGACGAAAAAACCAACAATTTTTTTTGTTTAAAATAACAACAATGTATTTCCACCAAAAAAAGAAAAGCAATATTTGGAAACACTGAGGGCTGACAGAATAGGGATTAGGAGAGAAAGCGAAAAATTTACAAAGCGCGACAAAAGACAGAAAATTGAGAAAAGCTATGATTACCCATGTCCTAAAGAAACGCGGCACAAAGAAGAAGAAGAATATTTGGTGTGGGCGTATGTGTGTGTGTGTGTGTTTCTAAGTGGCAAAATTACTTCCATGCTGGGCAGCAGCTTTTCAGGGAGCAAAAAAAAAAATGGAGGAGAGGTGACAGAATTTTGAAAACGCTTTGCTTTTTATACTAATACTACGTAACACTAGTTACGTAATTACATGTCTAAGGGAGGTAATCCACTTCCGTCATATATGTTCTTGTTTATCTTATTATTTTTATTGTGATTTTCGTCCCCCCCCCCAGTTCTAATACACCAAAAGGTGACACGGATTTATCTTTTATCCATGCATTGTTTTCTCGCTCGATATAATTCCTTCATGTCTTAGTTTAGTCTGTCGAAATCGATCTCACATTACGATCAATGGCTTGCGAAAGCAGTTTGTTAGTGTTTCCCATACAGCAGTGAAAGAAAAGAGGTTGAATGAGTATTTGGTTAAAAAGCCTTTCTTGCACACTTGACTTATCCAAGTAGTAACAGTTATTTCCAACCTTGACAAGAACCAATCATTGATAAATTGATTTCAGAAATATACGGAGGAAAAATATCCATAAAAGTATCTTCCTCTTTCCACACATCAGGTGTGACATGAAAATCGGGAAGGGACTTTTACATCCGGGTAATTATGGTTGCGATCCGTTATTTTTAACTGGTATTGATTTTAAAACAAAACCTGTTATTATCTTTTCGTCTATTCTCACGGTTTTGTATGTATAGTACACACAAGCACAACACACAATACTCTCGCACACACACGCGCAGGCACAGACAAACACACACACACAGCACACGCATACATAAATACCACACGCGCAAACACAACGAACACAAAACAAGTACACTCGTATATATATATATATATATATATATATATATATATATATATATATATATATATATATATATATATATATACGTTTGTGTGACGATCGCAAAGGGCGTGAAGCTCCGGGTCACAAACTCACATCAATACAACTACGTATGTTAGCTCTATCACCGATATTGAGCGCTTTCCAACAAGTACCCATATATATACTATATAAATAATATATATAGAAATTATATATATATATATATATATATATATATATATATATATATATTACATATACATACATATATATATATATATATATATATATATATATATATATATTTTAAAATAGATCAACCGATCGCATTACCTTGGTTTCAACCTTTCTGTATTTTCAGGCGATCCGAGCTAAATAATTTCCTTATTTTTTAAAAGTAAATAAATAAATAAAAACGCACAACGTGA